GTAAGATCAGACCACACAATTTCACAAAAGGGTCATGGAAGTCTGGAACTCTTCACTTGTCGAAAGGTTACTGAGGTTGGGGAAGATCAACCAACCACCATAATTATAGGCAGAGTCATTAATTATATTCAATTATAGCCAGGGAGTCAAGGATTATGGGGAAAGCCAGGAAGTGGGGTCAAGGATCAAATCAACCAAGATAATAATTAATTGGCAGAGCAGACTCCATGGGCTGCATAGCCTACTTCTGCTTCCACATCTCATGATAGAAATTGCCTTCAACTGTTTGCACATCACTGGGCTCCTAGGATATGCTGGAGATTCTGTAGCACAAGTGGTCATGTCACTCACTATTACTTGAGGCCTGACTACAAACGTAGTGCAAAATCAGTTCAATTCAGTCCCCATCTCTGCATTCCCCCATCCCAGTAGTAACCTGAAGAATTTGAATTCAGCTTTTAAACATCTGGGAACAAATATGAAACAGAATTGGCAACAGCAAGTTCACCATTGTCAGGCTATTGTAAATATGACTGAGTCACTAATATCCTTTAAGGCAGGGAAATTCATTGACAAGGAAGGGAGGGGTTGGGGGGATTGTTCTGCAAAGCCCATTTACAGTAAGATCAGTTTTTAATGAGAACACACAAGGAGCCTCTGAGCAAACCCCTCTCCCACATTATTACAATCATTGATAAAAATCAAAAACAGAAGGATCACAATACAATAGCCACCAGATTTCTCTTTCTGGAAAAGAAAGATGTTCCTGATCAATACTTCAGTCATTGGCCCTTCACTTCTACAAAGAAGAGTAGTGCAAACCCAAATTCCAACCCCAGATTAATGATCTGTGGCAAAAAAAATAGGAAGTGATTGAGAAACTCAGCAGGACTGGCAGTATCTGCGGAGAGAGAAACACAATTAACAGAATCTAATAAGACTCTTCTTCAGACAATGGTGTTCTGAGAATTAGGTTCAAATCCCATCAAGATGGATGGTGAAATTTGAATTCAGTAAAAATTGGACATTTCTAGTCATTCCTCCATATCTGCAAGGGCAGGGTTCTAAGAACCTCCCTGTTGAAATTTATGAGTGCGGAGCTCATTAAAAATAAAAAAGTTAAAATGATTTAAAAATATCATGAATGCAATTTTTGCCTGTGAATGTTTTTTGTTATTTAATTTTTAGCATGGATAGGCAAATTCACGATTTGAGATTCCGTGGTCACAGGATTTACTTTTACTGTAAGCAGCTAGCCTGATGGCAACCATGTAACTGTTGTCACATGTTACAAAAACACATCTCGTTCACTAATGTCATCTAGGGAAGGAAATCTGATGTCCTTACCCAGTCTGATCTACATGTAATTCCAAACCCACTGCAATGTGGTTGACTTAACTGCCATCTCTAATTAGGGATGGGCAATAAATACGGATCTGGCCAATGTCACCCACATCCAATGAATGAGTAATAAAAATTTCCCTGGAAGTACCTACACAAAAATCATTATTCAGAACACCATCAGCAACCAGGGGCTGCAGCAGTTTAGGAAGAACTTCCTCCACCCGCTTCCTAGGGCCATGAAGTGTCGAGGATCGCTGCCAACCTTTCCACCAAGACACATCCCCCAGATGTACATGATCAATGCAGGAGAAAAAGTGAGGAAGTGCAACATGGAAGGTGATGGCACATTGGAGCACAAAAAGGAACATTCAGCCAGGTCACTGCTGGTCTATATCCAACTCCATCCATCTGTATTCCCCCAAACCCCTGCTGAACTAAAACAAAAACAAATTCAGTTTTCAAATTTGCATTATCCTTCACTCAATGAGATTGTGGGTGATCTAATAATCCTCAACTCCCCTTTTCTACCACATACCAATAATCCTTGATTCCCTTCCAGATTGAAAATCTGTCTGTCTGTCTGTAACAGCTGTGAATATACTTAAATGACCCAGCCTTAAAAGCCCTCTGTAGTTAAGAATTGCTAATGATGGAATTGCTTATCGGTAGTCACTCATCTGTCTTAAACATACAGCCTCTTACTCGGATTATGCTTTCTGGTCCTGGTCTCTCCAAAGAGAAGCAGCCTGCTGCATCCACGATGTCAAGTCCACAAACAATTTTACATATTTCAATAAAGATCGCCTCACTATTCTGAACTCTTAATGAGTACAAGCCAAACATATTCAAAACCTCAAGAGAGTCCCTGATTGCATCCAATGTTAGTACTTCCTTGAAGGAAGCAACAGAGTTAATGTTTCAGGTCTGGTGACCCTTCCTCAACTGTTCTAAGGGAGGGTCACTGGACACCAAACGTTAACTGTTTTTTCCTTCACAGGTGCTGCCAGACCTGCTGAGCTTTTCCAGCAACTTTGTTTTTGTTCCTGATTTACAGCATCTGCAGTTCTTTTGGTTTTTAGTTCGTACTTCCTTTCCTTAGTTAAGGAAAGAAAAACTATTCAAAGTATTCCAGGTATGGTCTAATTAATACTTTGTATTATTTTAGCAAGATTTCTCTATTTTCATATTCTGTTCCTTTTGAAATAGAGGGCCTACATTCCATTTGCCTCCTCTGTTACATGCTGAATTTGCATGCTAGCATTTCATGATTTATGAATGAGGACTCCAAAGCCCTTCTTTCTGCAGTCATTCTCCATTTAAGTAATATCCAGCATTTCTATTTTTCCTGCCAAAGTACATAACCTCACATTTTGTCCAAGGTACATTCCATTTAACAAGTCTCCCCCCACCCCCCCACTCATTTAACTTGTCCATATCCCTCTGTAGACTGTCAGCACACACCTTCCTAGCTACTTCTGTCATCGCAAACTTGGCGATAAAACATTGACTTTTGCCATCCAAGTCATTAATATATTGTAACTAGTTGTGGCTCCAGCAATCCACTAGCTATAGGGCAACAGAGATCATATCTATGTCAAAGATTGCCTTCGACAATTTTCACACATCATAAACATCAAAAGATGCAGGGTTAGTGCTAGAAAATGGTGCTAAAGTGGTGGTCAGTCCTTATCTCAAATGAAGGATGGAGCAGGTTCCAAAGGTTGTTTGGCCTCCCCCTGCTCTTATCTCGAGTTCCATTTTAATCTTCTATACTCAACCTTATCAACACAATAAGGCCTCAAATTAACCCTTAAAGCCACAACAAAGCCTAGCCCAAATTCTCACACCGCAATAATTCAGCAAATTCGCATCACCATCCTGCAGACATTCGTGTGAATTCGTCTAGCGCATTTTTTTTAAAAAAGGGAAGTTAAGCCTTTCAACAATCTATTTGTTTAAGAGGGGAAATGTTGCATTGCTGATGCTCCTTGCAAATCAGCTATCCTGCTTTTAAACACACAAAATGACTAGATTGCAGAGGAGATTTTTTTTTAAATAAAGCTGAGGTCAGAGTGATGGTGGCTAGGCTCCTGCTGCTGCCTCTCGAATGCACCAGATCCTGACGTGGTGCGAACTTGTTCCCAGCGTGATTGACAGGTCCCCAGTCTCCCCTAGCGCTCCACCCCCTCCGCAGTGTTGGTAAACACTGGTCACATGACCTCCTGACGTCACGTCCAGCAAAATGTGAGAAAAATTTGCTCTTTTTAAAAGAAAATGCCCTTTCTCAGAGCATGAGCAGAGGATGAGGTGCAAGGAGCCAGACCAGGACCACAAAAGGGAATGGTTGAGTTGGGAAAAGGGGTAACAGCTAACCAGGATCATAAGTGGGGAAAGGGGGTTGGGTGCAATCCAGCTGACCAGGAAGGATGGGGGGGGGGGGTGGGGTGGGGTGGGGTGTGTGGTGTGTAAAGTAGTAGTGGCGGAAGAACTCCAGCTGACCAGGACCCCGGGAGGGAATGGCCTATCATCTTTTTTGGGGTGCAACAGGGGTGGAGAGCAACAGCTGTGTGTCTTCAAACAAGAGTGTAAAGGAATATTGTCTATTAAATGAACTGTCACCACCACCTCATTTATTTTCTGCATCATGCAGACCCCCTTTTAAATTGTAATGCATTTCTATAAATGCAAAGGAAAACAATGTTTTAAAGGTCCTGACTGCACATCTGATTTAAATATAAAGTCCAGAACCTTCCTTGTAACCCGCAGATCACTGAAGCCTTCCTCCCAGCGCTGATTTTGGAGAAGTCAAGTCAGTAAATATTTATATATTAGAACGCAGTTCAACAAAATTGTATGAAAAATTAAGATGCAAACGCTTTCATTTTCTTTGTTCTGATCACTCTCAAGCCCTGTAGGAAGGAAAAACTGTTGCATGTGGAGACAGCGTGTCAATGGGGAACAAAAGAACTCAGGAACAAGGGATAAACTGGCCCAAGGGAAAAAAAGGGTTCAGTAATTATAATCATCATCCAAGCCAAGCCACAGGCTGGTTTCAAACAGAACATTAATGTCAGTTCAGAAAGCAGGGTAGACCACTGCAGCAAATGAACCCTCACCAGAGGAAAAAAGGAATTTAATCATTATTAAATCAAGTTGACCTGCCAATTAAATCTGATTACCCCGCCTCTGGGAGGCTTTGTTTCATTTTTCTTTGAGAGAACCTAAAGGACGACCGGGTGTGGGGGGCGGTAAGTAATATATTCAAGAGGATAAGCCTCTCTTAACCCCCAACCAAAACTTTGCCACTATACAAGTTCAGAGCGAGCAAAATACAAAACAAAAATCCCTGAAGCTAGCACGTTGTTCTTCCAATGCACCAAGTGCCAGCGACCACTGCCTCCTGCCAACAGCACCCCCCTACCTTCAACAGTAAAAAAACCCAACGCAGCCCCTGACACACATGGTATTATTATTTTGCATCACTGCAACATTGCAGTCTGGAGTTCCTCTTGCATCTAGCACAAAAAATAAACCGCAAACATCCTGTTTCAATAAAAAAAAAAGCAATCTGGAGAAAAAGCAACACAATAGGAAATGTTGCATTTTTGGTTAAGCGAAATGTCAAGTGCATTTTTTTGTTAAAAAAATCATCTTACCTTAAAACATAAAATTATACACTCCTCTATTATTTGTACCTATCAATTCGCGTCTTCCCCCTCCCCACAACACGGGTTGTCTTGCTTTTGTTTTTTCACTGCTTTTTTTAAAAAGCTTATGTTTATAGTCTGCTTCCCTCTCTGTCTGTCTTCAGCTGAAGAATGGCAACAGCTGGGAGCCCAGCTCTTTTGTACAGTCTAGTACATCCTACCCTGCTGCCCAGTGACTGATGGCACGCCTGACCAATAATAAGCAGGTCGAGTCCCAGCAACATGGTCGCCATTGGTCGGGTCCTTAGTACCGGAATCCGGCGACCGCGGCCAATGAGCGCGCTCAGGAGGCGGTGTGGGGGCGAGTCCAAGGGAGGTTCAAGGTAGATTGCGGCGCGGGAGGCCCAGTCAGCCAATCAGTGCGCAGCAGGCGTGTAGCCAAGTTGGGAGTGGAGTGGGGGGGGGGACAGAGTTATTGGAGCTGTATCAAGATACAGGGATAATGGCAGGAAATTCCACTTCTGGGAGCAAAATGCAGACTTGATTTCGTTTGCAAACTATACAATCCCTTTTCTTCAATCCTATCTTAAAATGCTGCAATGTCCTTACATTTTGCAAAGAAATTTGCCTTCGTTTTCAAACTATATAATCCCTCTCCTTAAAACACCCATCTCAAAAAATGCAGCAGTGTCTTACATTCTGTAAAAAAACAAATTTGCTTCAATTTCCAAAGTATATTATCCCTCTTCTTTAACCCCCATCTGTCAACAAATGTTGCAACGGCCCTTACAATTTACAAGAAAAATACAAATTTGCTTTTATTTCCAAACTATAAATCGCTCTCCAACCCCATCTCACAATAAATGCTGCAATGCCCTTAGATTTGTAAAAGAAATAACAGGCTTGCTTTCATTTGCAGACGACCCCTCATTTTGCAAAGAAATACAGACTTGCTTTCATTTTACAATTTATATAATCCCCAGCCCATCTCAAAGTAAATGATGCAGTGTCCTTAGATTTGTTGTTTTTCTGAAGAAGGCTCCCAACCTGAATTGTCAACTTTCCTGCTCCTCTGATGCTGCCTGGCCTGCTGTGTTCCTCCAACTCCATATTGTGTTATCTCAAAGTAAATGGTGCAGTGTCCTTAGATTTGTAGAACAAAACAGACTTGCTTTCATTTCTGAACTGTATAACCTCTTTCCTCCAACCCCATTTCAAAACAAATGCTGCAATGCCCTTACGATTGTGTGAATTCCAAACTATATCAATCCTCTTTCCCAACCCCATCTCAATATTAATTTAAGGCCTTCAGCCATACTACATTTAGGGAGGCAGGAGGTGAGAGGCGATGGCCTAGTGGTATTATCACTGCACTGTTAATCCAGAGACCCAGATAACGTTCTGGGGACTCGGGTCCGAGTCCCACTATGGCAGATGATGGAATTTGAATTCTGTAAATATCTGGAATTAAGAATCTAATGATGACTGTGAATCCATTGCTGATTGTGGGGAAAAACCCATCTGGTTCACTAATGTCCTTTAGGGAAGAAAATTGCCATTCTTACCTGGTCTGGCCTACATGTGACTCCAGACCCACAGCAATGTGGTTGACTCTTAACTGCCCAGAGGCCAATTAGGGAATGGGCAATATATGCTGCCAAGCCAGAGACGCCCTTATCCCATGAATGAATAAAGGAGAGACCATATACTGAAGAACCAGCCCTGCAATCCAGGCTGTATGCCTGGTAAGGAATGTACAGTGTGAATATCCAGATTATTAAAATTGGCATCTCAGAATGGCAAAATGTTGACTTTTATTGCACTTTCTGTTGCTCCATTTGAAATGTTTTACTGTTGGGCTCTATCTCTGAAAGTACTTTTGGGAATGTAGCAGTTTAAGAAGGCAGCTCACTGCCACCTTCTTAAGGGCAATTAGTGATGGCCAATAAATGCTAGCCCAGCCAGCAATGCCCATATTCAATGAGTGAATAAAGAAATATCAAGTGTATAGAAGTTGTATTTGTGCACCTCAGAGTGGAACAATCCGTATTGAGAAAAGTTTAATTTTATTGCATTTTCTGAAATATGCTAGTTTAAATGTTTTGCCCTTAGGCTATATTCCTGACATGCAATGTATATTGTGAATATCAATAGTACACAATTGTGCTCAGGCACCTCAGAGTGGACCATGAAAAGGGGAGAAACGTTGCATTTTCGGTAATTTTCTGTTGAAATGCTTTGCAATGTAGTTTTACAACTTTTAAGGGGGGGTGATAGGAGTTTTATGTGCTCTTTCTGACTACCTAACTTTGCCTCTCCACATTCCTGGCACAGTCTCTCGATGGGGTCTGTCTTTTCTCCATTGCTGATAAGAGTGGACCTTTTCCCATACATTGGCAGCCTCCATTTGACAAAAGCAGACATAGACACCAAAATTCATCATCATCTCCAATGTGTTAGTTCAGCCTCTGAGGAAAAGAAAATTTGAGAACCAGGATCTCAAATCTGAGGTAAAAGCAATTTGCTGGAGATCTGAAATTTTTAGAAAAGCAAAAGGTGCTGTAGAAAATCAGCAGATCTGGCAGCATCTGTGGAGAGAGAAAAAGATTTAACGTTTTGAGTCCAGTATGACTGTTCTGAAGATCAGTTATATTGGGCATAGTCATTTTGGACTTGAAAGTTTAATTCGGTTCCCATCTTGATAGATACTGCCTGTTTCTGTCTCCATGTTTTTACTCAAACCTGAAGCAAAGGTCAGGGCTTACCAAGCAACAATGCCTTTATATAGTGCCTTTGCAAACAGTACTTTGCATTCACAGATCACTTCTTTCAACAAAAACCTCTATTTACATCACATCCTTAACTGCAATGATTTAAATTCACATAGTTCATTTAAGAACTTGAACTTAAATAGTATCTTTTGCAACAACAACTTGCACTTCTATAGTGTCTTTAACAACAACTTGCATCTTCTTAGTAAAAACTGAAATAACTGCAGATACTGTAAATCAGGAACAAAAACAGAAGTTGTTGGAAAAGCTTAGCAGGTCTGGTAGCATCTGTGAAGAAAAATAAGAGGTAACACACTTGGGAACTCTGCAGCCCAATGGTATCAATGTGGATTTCACAAGTTTCAAAATCTCCCCTCCCCCCACCGCATCCCAAAACCAGTCCAGCTCGTCCCTGCCTCCCTAACCTGTTCTTCCTCCCACCTATCCCCTCCTCCCACCTCAAGCCGCACCTCCCTCTCCTACCGACCAACCTCATCCCGCCCCCTTGACCTGTCCGTCCTCCCTGGACTGACCTATCCCCTTCCTAACTCCCTACCTACACTCACCTTTCCTGGCCCCATCCCCGCCTCTTCGACCTGTTTGTTTCCTCTCCACCTATCCTCTCCTCTATCCCTCTTCTATCCGCCTCCCACTCTCTCCCTATTTATTTCAAAACCCCCTTCCCCTCCCTCTTTTCTGATGAAGGGTCTAGGCCCGAAACGTCAGCCTCTCTGCTCCTATGATGCTGCTTGGCCTGCTGTGTTCATCCAGCCCTGCACCTTGTTGTCTCGGATTCTCCAGCATCTGCAGTTCCTACTATCTCTATCTATCATTCACTTTCCTTCTCTCCTTTGTCTATCAAAAATCTATCCACTCAGTCTCCAGGCTCCACTACCTTCTGGGGTAGACAATACCACACACTGATGATCCTCTGAAAAAAAAGTTTCATTTTTGTCTTACGTACAAATTAGGAGGAGTAGGCCATTCAGCCCCATAGTCCTGCTCCAATTTGATAGGAGACATTCAACAAGTCATATAAGAGCCAAATACTGCAGATGGTGGAAATCTGAAATAAACACAAAGAATACTGGAGAAAATGTGTGGGAATTTTTTTTAATGGTTTCAACAGAGGCTCCAATACCTTTCAGTTCTGAAGAAGTCATACTATACTCAATATGTTAGTTATGTTTCTCTGTCCACAGATGCTGCCAGAGCCTCTGAATTTCTCCAGCATTCTCTGGATTCATAAGTCATGGCAAAGCTGATTACTCCACATTCCCCTGAAGACCTTTCTCATCAAGAATTTATCTACCTCTACATTAGAAATATTTAGATGCTCTGCTTCCACGGTCTTTTGAGAGAGAGTTCTAAAGACTCATAAGCCTCTGAGAAAATTTTGCCTTCATCTCTGTCTTAATGGGTGATCCCTTATGTTTAAATATGGGCCCATAACTCTAGTTTCTCCCACAAGAGGAAACACCCTCTCACATCCGTCCTGTCCAGATCCCCCCAGATCTTGTATTTTTCAACTGAATCACCTCTTACTGTTCTAACCTTCAGCAGAAACAAGCCCAGAGTATCAAACCTTTCCTCATAAGACAGGTATTAATCTAGAACCATTTCAGACCCTCTTCTAACATACTTATATCCTTCCTTAAATAAGAAGACTAACGTGGTACTCCTGATGTGATTTCATCAATGTGATATATAGCAGAAGCATAATCTCTCTACTTTTGTGTTAAATTCTCATAATAAATGATCAGACTCTATTAGCTTTCCTAACTACTTGCTTTACCAGCATACCTTTGCATCTTAAAGCTTTGCAATCTCTTACCATTTAGATATGCCTTTTTTTTTCCTGCTCAAATGGACAATTTCAAAGTTTCTCATATTATAGTTTATTTGCCAGATCTTTGATTACTCAGCAAACCTATCAATATTCCTTTTTAGCCTTGTTATAACTTACATTCCTACCGAAATTTATGTGATCAGCAAATTTAGCAACTATACCTTTGGTCCCTTCATCCAAATCATTTATATAAATTGTAAAAATTAAGGACCCAGCATTGATTCCTGTAGTACACCACTCATAACATGCTGCCAACCAGAAAATGACCCATTTCTGCTGATTTGCAGTTCTGTGTTAGCCAGTCTTCTCTTCATGCCAATATGCTACCACTACACCATGAGCTTTTATTTTCTGCATTAACCTTTGGTGCAGTACTTTATCAAAAGCCTTCTGGAAACCGAAGTACATTATATCCATCGGTTCTTCTTTATCCACAGCACATTACTTCCATAAAGAACTTGAAATAAATTGATTAAATATGATTGCCCTTTCACAAAACTATGTTGATTCTACCCAATTACTGTGAACTTTTTTAATGCCATGCTATAACACCTTTTAATAATAGATTCCAATATATTTTCCATG